GTATGTATGTATATGTGTATATATATCACTGTGATTTAGGTGACCCGAAAATCACTCGACAAAGTAAGAATGACCAGCATATGTTTCAGGGAAGAGGCAGTCTGGTAGTGCATCGAGCACTGCAAAGAAGCAGAGCGGGGGATTTCGTATCGAGTCTTGTTGTCGCAATAGGATTGGAATTGTGTTGTACGTGGCTGATAGCAGAGGTTCGCCAACCTGTGTCGGTGTTCTAAAAGTCAGTATAAAGACGGGCGGTTTAGCCGTGCAATGATGCTTCTGTTTATGCAGGGAATATGAAAGACCGATGCCAGCGACGACTTCTAAAATTTTTACTCGCATCTTCATCGTGGAAAACAAGTCAACTCATACCAGTAACCTTCCCATCGAGAAGTCGGTATGTACAATGATCCGTAGTAGGCGATATAGGAATATTTTGAATATATCGGTCGGAGGTGTGAAACATTCAATTTCTTTATGGGTCACACTAGCCTCGTACTAAATATCCATAAATGTAGATAGACACACATGCATTGCACAACATGTCATGCGGATCATCGCTTCCAGACAAGCAAGGTCGGTGGTAGCCTAACCACTAGCTACTGAGAAGAGCTCCTAAAGAAACCTGGTGGACTTTACCTACTGCGTGAGGCATCAGTTAGACGAGAGTATCACAAGATAAACAACTGCGAATGGCTTTAGCAATTATGGGCTTGCCCTACACTGGGCCTAATATGAAACATAGAGGCTAGTTATGCACAATCTATATTACACACAATGCAGAACGGTATTTGATCTCGTTATTTTGACCCATGCTAATTCTTGCTTTTAGTAGTACCTTCGCGGTATTGACAGTAGTTGATGGAGTGGCTCATCTACTTGTGTGCGTCCTGCCAACTCAATGGCAGTAAGTGCTTCAATGTACACGAATATGCTACACTATGTAAAATTATGTGCTTCGTTGTAATGCTGAGAGCAACTTGCCACAGCGCGGCCACAACGCGATTTCCAATCCTGTATGTCACCACATCCGTAAATAGGAAATCAAGATTGCAAACCTTTCATTTCCACATTGAGGTTTCCCTCGCAATCTTAAGCCAAGAAGTGTAACCTTGCACATGTGTGCTCATCCTTCACGTGAGCCTGGCCGTCCAAAGAATTATTGGTATGTGTTTGCGTGCGCTATAATGGCCTTATTTCTCTGCGAGTCAAAGCAATCAGATTCTGGAATACTTGACCAACTACACCTTTGTGAGGGCTTGAAGTTCAATATTTAGATCACGCCACTCACTGGAATTATTACACTGAAAATATTTATCTACCATAAGAAAACATCACTTATGTCATGTCAACGAAGATGCTGGCTAGTGTACGTGAGCATGATACTTTTAACGAACAATAGCATACGCAATGAAGGAATCATGACCAGATAATCGGGTGTTACAAATTCCGAATAGCATACGATCCAATGCTGTTCATTCGTAGGACTTATATATATATATATATGTGTGTGTGTGTGTGTGTGTTGTGAGTGTATATGTATAAATATATATATATATATATATATATATATGTGTGTGTGTGTGTGTGTATGTATGTATGTATACATGTATGTATGTATATATGTATGTATGTATGT